TATGGACGAAAGGGAAAAGTGTGTAACTGTACAATGTCCATTTATTCTTCCTTCTTCTTAGTATACAACCATTTTTCAATTTAATCAACAAAAGATTTTTCACAACAAGAACTGTTATATACAAATCGTCATATTAGCAATGCTCTGCATCATTATAAAACTACAAGGCTGAACCTCTTTAATGATGGTGCAAATGGTGAGCAGACCACAAACTCATCAAATCTTGGTGTAACAGACTTAACTTTATGTATTTATTTTTAGATGTCCGGTCTTGAAAAAGACTGTCCTTGTTGAGGTTATTTGTAAGCCAGGTCATTTAGGGCAGGTCATCCATCAAGTAAATCAAGTTAAAAGACGTGTCAACAGTTTTCCTAAAATAGACCCGCAAAGTACCTTTGTCCACATACTGTGCCTGATGAAGGAACATCAAAATGTAAGGTTGGACATACTTGGGATAGCTGTCATGCTAAACTGCTACCCTTGTGTGTTGAAGATGTGCAGATGGCCAAACATAATGGATTAGAAACAATAAAGTAAATGTTTATTGTAGCCATCAACAGACATATTGCCAAAAGTGCCTGCAAACATATATAAACATGAACAATGTCCTATTATTGTTCCATAAGGATAAGAGTGATGTCACCCAAACATCTTTAGCTGTTTAGATCTTCGACAAGGTTTGAAAATATTTTTATGAAAATCTTTCCCATTCTTCCAGAAATGTATTTTTTAAGGTAATACACTGATATAAGAAAATATTATAATATAAATTATGCCTAATTTATCCTAAAGGTGTGCTACAACATTAAAATTGGGACTCCAGTGCAGGCTGTTCACACTCTTCCAGACAAAACTCCTTTATTAACATTGCTTTGTGCATTGAGCTGGACATATGTTGGATCAAGAATTGTTCATTTAAGTCACTTGATCTATGCAGGTACTTCCGAACAACAGACACCTTAACATATTTGCACAAACTCTACACTAGTGCTGTGTAAGAGTCCCTGCAAAGGCAATTTTTGAAATAACAGATGAATACAGTAAAAAAAAAAATAAAATCAAGGTGTTCGAATGCATTAAAATAATACCAAACAGCAAACAAAGATAAACTTATATGCAATGGTTAAGTAACATAGTTTCAAAATGGTTGGCTTACAAGTATTAAATGGAAGCTGGAAGGGCAAAAACTGAAACATATCAGTTGGACATGAACTAGTCTAGCAAATCATTTCCAAAAAAAAAAAGAAAAGAGGAATTGCTTTATATTCTCTCTCAACAGTTTTTCTCAAGAGTTTTCTATCTGCTGAGTATTTGGAACCACCTATTGAATGGGATATTTGGTATTGTTGTCAGTTTGGCACAGAAGTCCTTAGAGAGTCTTAGTGTATCCCAGGTATATACATAAAAATTTCAATCACATGCTTTCCTGGAGTAGAGGGTGGAGCAGATGGTGTTGCAAGGATACATATTGCAAAATATCATCATCACAATATTAGTCTGTGCAAAATGTATACCATGAAGGACATTTTGAAATGCAAATAATTGTCAGCTAATATACAAAGTTGTATTTTACCTGCTGATGGAATGTTTAGTCACTACTGCTCACATTGGACATCAGTGTTATTATCGATAATAAATGTTCAAGCATTTATTATTATCTATAGATGACAGGGAGAGGAAAAAAGAAAAAAAGTATATATTTCAATTGATATGGTCATCATAGTATTTTATAATACAACTTTTTTACAACTTTTGCCGCCCTACTGGGAAGCATAAGTTAACCTTGACATCTGAGATATTATGCTTTCATGACATCAGCACCAGAAGTGCTCTGTAGACCTTGTTTAGTTTTAGAGGAAAGGATTTAATCAGCTTTAGTACAATCTGTTTATCATCTAATCTTTGTGTGTTATATAAGAGATTTACAAAATAAATATGCTGTGACACTAATACGTGACTTCATGGCTATGTTTCTTTGACTTATCGAAATGCTTCAATTAATCTTATAAAACCTGCTTCAGCAAACAATTCCCAAGTCCTTTTTTTTTTTTTTTCATCATCGTTGAAGTCATGTTTTAACAGAGTCTCATTTTTCATTTATTTTCCTTTTCTCCATTAGCTGGAAGCCTCGCCTGCAGGTAAATGTGCACATATACCCGATGCAATGTGAAACCATTGTCTGTTTACTGGAAATGGAACAAGGAACTGTGCCACTGAACTTGCCTGCAGTGCTGCAGGTGCGAATATCTGTGTCCTGGCTATTGTGATTAATGGCAATGAAACCTGGGCCTTGGCCCAGCACGGAGTGATCACAATAGCTCTGACAAAGTCAATCAAAACAATCTGTCAGTGCCAAGAAAAAATGTAAAGGGGGGGGGGGGATTGTTCGTGAGGCCAGGTTGCCTGACAGCACTGCTGATTTATCACAGATGTGCATTTCTGAGAGCATGGGCAAACACAATTTTAGCATTTGTGAAGAATTATTTTTTGCTTTCATGTGGCCCTTACAGGGCAAGTTCAAATAGTGGAAAGATCATTGTGGATGGACAAAACACATGGATACACTCTACATAAGCATGCACAGACACACCTGGAGGAAAATATTTATAGCATTTTGCATTTCAAACACTGATGAAAAAAGTCCTTACTTCATAATTGTACACGTGTAAACTAATCATCGTGATGTGGATCATTTTTATAAGTAGAGTTTTCACTTTGCAGAAAAAATAGCCTGTTGATATTTATTGAAAAAAAAAATCTTTATGACCTTCTTAGCAAAGACTTCACTGGTATTTTGAGGCTTTATTTTTGGTCTTCAGCTCCAGGCATTTGAAGCTCCTTGCCATAACTCTAATATTTAGCTCCTTCTAGGTTTTTTTTTCGCAAATTCAAATCATTATCTGGGGTGATCCAATGTGAACTGTTAGCTTTAAAAAAAGAAATAAGTTGCTCAATCAAAAGAGATTGAGCAACTCATGTTCTGATTATATTTTTGAAATGTTTCTCTAATGCCTCACTTGCAATGACTGTGAAATAAAAGTTTGGCCAATGTACATTATGAACCCAGGTTATGGGCGCCCCCAAAAAATTATAAAAAGTCTTTAAATAAATGTATATATTTTTTTACTGTGTACCATAATCTAACATTTATAGAAAATTAACTTTTAACTACCGTATGTTGAATATGTGTTCACAATGAGCCAGAAACACTATTTCATGTTATTTTTTAACCAACAAGGAAGCATGATGCATATGAAACTACATAAAACAGATATCAATTTAAAAAATATATAAAAAAGTATCACATATCAATAGATTGATCATTGAAGACCTATTTTTTTTTATTTCTATAATTGAAACAAATTACTCATTTATTTACAAGGACGTTTTTATGCCTTTTTTTGTTGGTGAGGATAATTTCCTGTTTACAGCCAGTGAAAAAACACAAAATATAAGATTATTACATCAGAATAAAGGACAAAAAAAACAAAAAAAAAGAATCTAACACACAAGAAACAGATCTAATTTTCTGACTTTGCATTACACAACACCTAAATATAGAAAACGACGTTTGAATTTTGAGTGTAGATAAGAGTGAAACTATGTTACTGTGTTGTCAGAAGTTTAGATTTCAAGGCTTTTCATTTGTTTTTTTACCACACCGCACTCTTGCAACTATGGTTTTTAAACGTATGTATTGAACTTGCAAACGTCATTCTCAGTTTGATTTGAAAAAAAAAAAAAAGCATTTCTTTATTCTACGGAAGAGGATTAGGGACACTGAAAAAATAAAATAAAACTTTGACTGATTTTTAGAATTCATTTCAGTTTATTTTGGGAAAAGGGTCAGAACTCACATCTTTGTCAGTGAAGCTGAGTGCTCCCACATGTCTTCCCTTATGGTGCCCACCTACATTCAGATTCAAAATTCTGAGATTAAAGTCAGAATTCTGAGAAAAAAGTCAGAATTCTGAGATTAAAGTCAGAATTGTGAGAAAAAAGTCAGAAATCTAAGATTAAAGTTTGAATTCTGAGAATAAAGTCAGAATTGTGAGAACAATGTCAGGAATCTGAGATTAAAGTCAGAAGTCTGAGATTAAAGTCAGAATTGTGAGAAAAAAGTCAGAATTCTGAGATTAAAGTCAGAATTCAGACTTTTTTTTCTCATATTATACTGAAATAAAATTTGAATTTTTTTTTTTTTTTTTTCACTGGCCCTAATCCAGTGAAAACCTCTTTAGTAATACTATCTTAAGAGGAATCTTTAGAGTGGAATACAAATTTGAGGAGACAGAAAAAGAAGAATAAAGACAGCTTATTTATTTTTTCTATAATCTTTTTGCAACTGTTAAACACCAGATTTTTCCCATTGTGGGACAATAATGGTATTTTAAATTCTATTCTATTCTTAGTGATGTGTCACATATATCAAGTGTAGTGTAGGTAAATTTGTTAATAGCTTTAGGTTGACTCTTTTTTTAATCACAAACCTGAGTGTGAAAATGTTTTTGAGACTGTACTGATGTGACTTTTAAGAGTTTCAATAATAGTGTCATGCACCTAGTATTTCTTTTGTCTTTAAAAAGCCATGTTTAACAGAGACATGTTTATTACTTCCTCTCTTGACTCTTTCACATGTAAATGTCGGTGTCAGAATGGAATTATTAGGGGCATTCAAACCAATTATGTTATTATGGCTTGTTATAATGCGATTATAGAGATTGAGCTGGGGCTGATTGTCTCTTTAAGAAGTAGTGAGAGTGGAGGGGGGGCTGAGGAGGGGAGGGGGCGCGGTTTCACACCCTCGGGTGGGAAAGGGAGGCGGGGTTTCGGCGTTGATTGACAACCGCTCAAGGGCTCTTCACTCCGCGATGCGGGGAGAAGCGATCCGACCAATCAGATCGCTTAGGTAAGAAGCCATCCTCCAATCAGATCGTTATGGGCGGCACTTAGGATCGCTGTTGTGCTTCCAACGTGGGACTACGGAGCGACGGGTTTGAAAAAAAGGGAAAAGTAACTCTGCAAAGGAGAAAACTCACGGTGGTTAAAGCACGTTCGGAAGGAGGAGGGGGACGCAGTTTTGTTATTTATCGGAACCTCTAGATTCTGGGAGCACAGACGGCACCTGATGAGCTGCCGGTGGAGTTTCTTTGGATGGTCCTTGTTTCAAAGTTGGATTTATGCGGCTCAGATTTGAAGCAGTGATGTCTGGAAAGCTTTCAGCTTGAGATTTTTTCCCCTCCATCGTTCCGAATTTATTTTCTAAATATTTTTGGGTTATTTTATCGCTTCAGAAGTTAGAAGTTTACGTTAAAGGCAATTTTTGAGACTTGGAGCAGCTGCAGGGTGTCCTTTTAACATTTGGCTCCTGCGTGATTTCAAAGGTAGTAGAAAAAAGGCAAATTATTTGCTCTTTTCCTGAAACGTTTTTAGTACTTTATTTAATTCTAATGTTTTCGAGTTTGTGACTCTTTTTTGTTTCTGAATTTCCTTGAATTTTACTTCTCCGTCGGACTCCGGGCGGCGGGGAGGGGGGAGAAAGTTGGGACTTGTTTCAGAGATGAATTCGGCTGAAACGGACACAAAGTTGTTTCTACGAGCCTCCGGGACACAACAGGACAGTTAATGAGCTATAAGGGCTCCCTTCACCTCCTAAAGCGAGCCTGATAATAACTTTGCCAGCCTGTGGGCACCGGGAGAGCTCCGCGGCCGCGCTGCTCTACTGGATACAAAATGGCGGCGTCCCTGGGACGGTATGGATGCGGTTCTCGCTTTGTTTTTTATTTAATTTTGTCGCTGGAGCTGCTCAACACATTCGGACTGTGTTCGGACGCACCTTGCCCGCTTAACTGTACCTGCAGCGGGGATTCGGTGGACTGTAGTGGCCGGGAACTGACCGTCCCGCCTCTGGACCTTCCAGTTCGGACCGTTTCCTTGTAAGTAACCCCCCACCCCTTCAACTATTTATTGACCTGTCCATATCAGGATAACTGGGCTCTTAAAGTAACTATTTAATCCCTTTTTTATGTAATGAAGACATTTCAGAGCCTTAGCTGTCCAGAAATCTTTCTGGAGAGATTTTCCTGTTAGCCCAACCAGCCGGTCTAAGGTATAAGCAAACAATGCAGTTGCTTAGTTTCTGTATTTTCTACCTGCGTTTTTTTTTTTTTTATTAAATATGTGCATATTTGGTCAGTTTGTTTTACACAGTAAATTCCACTGTGTTAGATATCCAGTGTCAAAGTACATTAACTCTTTTAGAGTTATTGCAACAACAACTGGAGTGAAATATACAATATGTAGAGTTCTAATTTAACACTAATTCAGAGTGGGACCAGTGTTACTATAACTCTTCAAAATGTACTGTGTAGCTACACGTCAGAATCCGGGAAGTAATTTGAAAAAGAATTCTCCCCTTAAAAAAAATCTCTTAAATCTGGCTTCTTGTTCGTCTTGAACAATAAAGATTTCAACAATTGAATCCTGTTGTTAATAATAATTGTAATAGTAACTTTGTTTAAGACGTTTAAAGCGTTTTATCTCTGCTTCTGTCTCCTTGAACCCCACTCAGCCTCAGCAGATGGCCGCTCGCACCGAGCCTGGTTCTGCTGGAGGTTTCTTCCTGTTAAGGGGGAGTTTTTCCTCTCCACTGTCGCTACAAGCATTCTTAGTGTGAGGGATTGCTGAAGAGTCAATGAGGCGATGCAGTCAGCTGGTTTTCCTTAGATAGAAAACTTTGAATCAATTTGACTGTTTGATCTTGTGAATTGTAAAGTACCTTGGGAGGACATGTGTTGTAAATTGGCGCTATATTGATAAACTGAATTGAATGGAATTAAAGTTAGGTCAAAATTAATTCACGGGTACAGGATAAAAATATGAAGATAACGTATTTAATCTCAAGTGATGCCAATTTAAATGTATTGTGTGAGGAAGTTGCCGTCTGTGTTTTTAATTTTGTTTTTCACTTATGAGAAATATTGATTGATCTTACTGAAACCATCAGAGGCTAGCGCCACTCCCAGGAGCCCTCAAATTATCACATTAGTCAGATTTAGAGAGCATTATTCATACTTTAGGAATTATTCATCACTATCGTTCTCTATTCATTGCTGAGCTCCAGGGTCTGAAACAAAACTTTTGGTCAGAGCCTCATATAGACCAGATTATTTAGGGTTTAATGTGAAAGACGGTGAAAATATGGAGGCATGAATGAAGCAGGTAAAAGTCAGAAAAAAAAAAACAACCAAACTTTTAAATGATAGATGAACCCAATGCTCTAACTACTATAGGTTTCATTATTTCCGGCAGACAAGCACACAAATAAAGGCTAGAAACTCTAACCTCATGTGGATTACCTTTGGATTTAAAGATAACTTTATAGAAGAAACTGATTCAACAGGTCAGACCTTAAAGACAATCTGCCAGAATAAAACACAGCTCAGTGCATCTTTTCATTTAATCCGACCTACTTGGATACACCCTGCTTTGGATAAAGTTTTTATGCATTTAGTATTGTGTTTTTGGCCCTTATTTACAGCGGTTTAATGGAGGATAAATGTTGGGAGATTTACTATCATAGTTTTGGAACTACTGTATTTTATATCTGTGTTTGACCATCCCAACTTATTGCCTTTCCATAGCCTCATTTCTCTCTGAATGAGCAGTTATGTTCCCAGAGACAGAATGAGTAAACTTGTTTGCTTGGGATGAGTAAACAAACCTGTCATAACGAATAATCTCCGCCATTATTCCCTCAGATTAGTGATGAGTATTATCCACATTTCCTTCTCTGCGTTGGAAGCCATGTTACAAATTGAATTTGTGGTAAATAAATCAGTTTCCCAGCCAGGGTAAGACTGAAAACAGCCAATACCTTGTTTGTCAGCTCATTCGAGAATTAGCCACTTTGGACTATTTTATGAGCCTTTCGGGTGCTCCAGCTACCATCCTGCTGAGAAAAGAAAACACAGCTCTCTGTCCTGTCTCCTTCTCCCTGAAGCTCCAACAACACAGTTTTCTCCTGCGTTAATCATTAGTGTCAATTAAACCTGCTGTTCCAGGGAGCTTCTGCTTGTTTGGTTCCAGTAGATGGTCAGAAATCCACGTTTTCAAGACCAAGCACCCGAGCTCCACTAGGTTTATCTTTGCTTCTTTGCAGTATGGAAACACAGCTTTAGAAAAAAAAGTCTACATTTACAGGGACTGGATGGTCTGACAGCAGCTCTCTTATTGTGGGACAAATGTTCTGTTTGTAAAGAACGGCTGATGACTCTAGCCGCCGCTTCGATCCTTGTTCTGTTATCTCCTCCAAACCTTATCGGTTAAGATTTAAGCGGCCGCAATCTTTTTGTTTTCAAAGGGAATGGCTTTATGGCTCTGAATTATCTTTAAAACACCTAAGGTCGCACATTTCCACCAGATAGTAACATCGTATTGGCAGCCACCTCAAAGCAAGAGAGCGCCATTATTCTGGGGTCTTTGTAGAGGGCTGTTATTATTATATGGTTCCTGCAACTGGTGTCTTTTTGAGTCATAGCCAAGTGTCTAAAGCTCTTTATCTTAGCCTGTTTAAAAATCATAAAAAATGTCCCTTAGAAACTTTGGCATTTCTTCATGTGATCACACACAGGCTGTACTTTTCACTCCTTGCGTGGAAAATAAGTTGTGATTGGGAACCATGAATTGTTCTTGGTTTCATTTGAACTGATTGCCAGTTTCCACAGTGAGGCATGAGAAATGGAGGAAGCCACTGTGGAATCGGCTATCTCTGTGATGTGTGTCCCAGAGGAGCAGCAGCTGTATCGCTGCTAAAAGGGAGAGTATCGGTCCCTCCTTTCCTCACTTTCTTCTTCATGTTTGGTTAAAAAAAAATAAAAGATAAGTTGCAAGGGAAAGCATCAGAGTTACCAGACCTTTTTTTCCAGCTGCATGGAGGATAAGATGCACCTGTTGCTGCACACTGTATTTCAGCTGACCTAAATGAGGCTACTAGATTTCCCCTTTGCTTTAAAGGGAAACTGGATTTAACGCATCCCTGTAACTTTTCATTAGAAATTAAACACATGGGTAGTACTTCCATTTTTGGGTTTGACTTTGTTGTAAAGACTATGTTTGTTTGTTTTGTGTTTTTAATCAGGGAGAGCTGTTTAAAATTTTTCCCTGGGTGTAGAGGACCTGCAGGTCGTCTAGGAGTGTTTTCAGTAATGTGGCAAATCTCAAGCTTCCTTTTCCCATATTTATTCATTTCCCCCTCCATCTTTTAAAAAAAAAAAACCCTTAGAATGAAAACGATTGTTCGTGATAGAAGAACACTCTGACTTTTTAGCCTTTCTATTGTGATTTTTGCTTTGAAGATCCGTCTCCAGAGATAAGATATGATAAGAAATTTTTATTGAACCTGCAGGAACTCTTTGTGGCAGGGCTTCAGGATCACGTTCAATGAACTTTAGAGAATATAGTAACATGAACAAGCATCAGTCTGGCCTTCTCACTGTACATGGTGGCAAAAATAACTTTTTTTCCACTTGTTTTAGAATTGTCAATTGTTTGATTATTGTTGTATTGATTGGCTTTGTGTTTTTCCACCTTGTTGCAATCTGTGTATGCATTTTCTGGAGGTGGGGTGTGTCTGTGCAGGTGGCAGCGATAGTTCTACGTCGGGGTTTCTTGGGTTAAATAAAAACTTTTCCCTATTGCTTTTTATATACGTTTTTGTTTTGTGTGTGTGTGTGGACTTAAATAGCTGCAGCTCACCTGATCGGTTCACGCTGTGCACCGTCTATCAGACAGCAAAAAGGGGCTTCTGATGAGTATTTGTGTGGGGAAGATCGGTTACCAGAGGGCAGGTTTTAGCCTGCAGCTCATCCATCACTGGCACAAATAAGGCCACAACTGTTGGTGGAAGAAAACAAAAAGGCAATGCTTTCCAGCTGTCAAAATACCCCCCTCCATCAGGACCCCGATTGTAACGGCTCTCTGTGAACAAGGGGCCTTGATGAGGATTCGTGGCAAGCAAACATGTTGGCATGTCCGGTGCAGGTCAGGCTGGGCCAACAACGGACTGAAGGGGGCAGTTTTTGAGAACACTACCATGCAGACCTTAAATCATCGTTATTTTAAGTAGCTTGCGGTTTTAATAACACCAATGCTTCATCAATCAACATGCCTGCGCTGTCTTCAATCGCAGATTGATTATTTTGACTGTACTACAGCACAGCCTTGTATTTACGAATATCTGGGTCAAGCACACATGTTGCTGTTTTCCGTCAGAAGTCCTTTAACATTTAGCAAATTGACCATTAGCCTGAGGAGTTGGACTCCTCTTCATGATTGATGAATAGCCTTACAGAATCCAAAGTGAGTAGTCTCTCACACTGTTGCATATTCCCCCGCAGGAGTGGTGCTTTATCTTATTTGCTGTCACTGTAATGTGTGCAAAAAGCATCTTTACCCACAGTGCCGCTGGCGTAATGGGATTCTGTGAGTAAATAAAAGCAGGGGCAGTGCTAATTTTGGCTGCAATTCACTGCGTCGGGTAAAGATGGAGCAGATACCAGGGGTCTGTTTGATACAGTGTCTCTGTGTTTGTTTGTTTTTTCTTCTTACTGCGTGACGCACTAAAGTCCTGACGGAAGTCTACAGTTTTTTAACTCGCTCTCTCTGCGTTTTCATGTCTGCAACTGCTGCTACGCACTGGCCATTGGTAAGGTTTTAAAGATGAAAACTTTTTGCGGTTTCCGTTATTCAATCATTTTATTGGTGGAACATAGAACATTTTCTGTGGACGTATAAAGCTTAGGCTGCTCCTCCCCTACCTGCTGCTGTGCACTGCCAGCCAGCTGGCTCTGTTAGAAGATTTCTGTGTTTTCTTTTTTTTTTTTGTTCATACACCTGTTTTACTTTGGTAAATTGCCTTTTTTTATATATATATTCT